AGAGTTATTACAGAATATTCGGGGCCTTTTTCGAGTGAATCTCTCTGTATATGTCTCTATAAGCTTTGCTCACCTGGATTTTGGCAGTTTCATGGCAAATCCTTTGAAGCTGTAACAGATTGGATAGTGAGCGTCTGTGAACTGCCATTTTCAGGTCTCTCCACAGATGTTTGATAGAGTTTAAGTCTGGGCTTTAGCTGGGCCACTCAAGGACATTCAGAGACTCGCCCTGAAGCCAACATAGGGTTATTTTGGCTATATGCTTCAAGTAACTCTTGTGTTGAAAGGTGAACTCTCACTCCAGTCTGAGTGTCCATGCATTGTGGAGGAGATTTTCTTCAAGGATGTTCCTGTATTTGCATTTATTTATTGCTCAATCCTTACCAGTCTCCCCATCCCTGCCGCTGAGAAGCACCCCCATAGCATGATACTGCCACCGTCATATTCCCAACAGGAATGGTTTAGCCAGGTGTGTACAGTTCCTGTTTTTTTGCCAGACATAGGGCTTGCTGTTCAGTCCAAAAAGTTACATTTTCATTTCATCAGACCAGAGAATCTTTTTAATCATTTTGCCAGAGTCCTTTACATGCTCTTTAGCAAACTGTAAGTGGACCATCATATGCCTATTACTCAGCAGTGGATTCCATCTTGCCACTCAGCCATAAAGGCTTGATATACAGAGTGCTGCAGATATAGTTATCCATCCAACAGGTTTGCTATGTCCGCTCACGAATTTTGGAGGTATTTTAGCGTGACTGCTGTGTTCTTCCTTAAGTCCATGACCAAGGTCCTTCTTGCACAGATGCCCAATTTGGCCAGATGGCCAAATCTAGGAAAGTTCGAGGCTGCGCTTCTTCTATTTCAAAATTATTGAGGCCACAGTGGTCCTGGGAACACTCAAAGCCTTAGATAAAGTTTTATATCCTTGTCCTGATCTATGCCACAATTCAGTCAATGATATCCACAGACAGTTCTCTAAACTTCATGGCTTGGTTTTTGTCTTGACAATGCTGTGTAAATTGTGGGCCCTTTTAGACTCAGTTTTGTGCCTTTCCAAACTATGTCCAATATTAGTTTTTGATGTTTAACTAATTTTCAAAAACCTTGTTTTCACTTTGTCATTATAGGTGATTAGGTGTAAATTGATTGGTAAAAATGGCATTTATGTCCATTCTAACTCAAATCAACAACACAATAATGTGACTCATATTCCACTCTCTGTTCCTACAGCTACAATGAAGCCTAGTCGTCCCAAGGTGGCACTGGTTGATATGTCTCTGACTATAAGCGCTAGAGTCAGAAGTCTTGCTCTGAATCCTTGTATTCCCTCAAATGTGGTGGTACAATTGGTTTCCTACCAATTCCTACCACATACAATTTTCAATACCATTTTAAATTTCTCCAAAAAATATTTTTGACATCTTCTCTGAGGCCATTTGCCAAATTCACACTCAATATGGAACCATGAGATACTAATAAGGTTGATCAAAGATTTTTGCTGAGATGAACCATTCATATGCCAGAAGACGATGGAATTTTAGGGTGTCACCATTACAGACTTACTCCCGCATGATCAGATGTGATCTTGTAACAAGAATATCTGTCGACAATCATGATAAATTATGGGCTAAATTTGGGTGTATACAAACTGAGTGCGAAATTTAGAAACCAATCTGATAGTAGCGGGCAATATTGTGCACATCAACATCGTCTGATGTGCATCTTTAATACAGAGACAGTAACACAGCATCACACAGAAAGCTCCAATTCTACATAGCAGTATACTTTATTGTGGCCATGCACACACTGTACCCATTTTCTAAGCAGATTTAAAGAAGTTAAAGGGCCAAAGTCTCAGAAAGTATCAGCAAAAAAAAGGTCATTTCGATAAGGTTAATGCTGCCTAGAGGGAGCGGGTTATAATAGACTAGTAAAAGGCCGCTTCTCGAAGACGTTTTATTTCTGGCTGGTAATTTAACAGCTCTTGTATCTATTGTGTCTTTAATGTGTGAAGTTTGGAAAATCAAATTATTTTTGGCACCTACCGGATGGATACTGGACCTACAGTGTGGATGGCTACCCTTGCACCTGGCTTTGTCCATTATGACCATGCAAATCAAGGCCAAGACAATAAACGAATGTACTACAGTCTCTAACGGCACACTAGCACGGTGGAGCTACAAGGCAGGGGTTTCTAATTAAGTGGATAGTGTGAAAAGGTATAGAGAGGGCAAGAGCGAGTGACTTTTGCATCAGTTACACGTACCTATGTGATATATCGAGTACTGAAACAGTATATTGGAAATAGCTTGTCATGACTCATAAGACATCGCATGTATATATTTAGTATGTATGAGAAAGAGACAGAAAGACTTCCCCTGAATGCATTTCCTGTTTCTGTGTGGACATTATGGTATGGTAGAGTCCAGTGAAGTTAGCCTTTTAAAAGACTTTAGTGTTGAAGAGTGTAAGAGTGTAGTACTACAGTACAGGTATCCAGTGAGGGGGTTTTGGAACTCAATATAAATGCAGGTTTATTTGTACCTGCTGCTTGTGCTCTGTGTCACTGAAGATGAGTATGACATTTTCTGTCCATCTTGCCACTTGGCCATCCACTGTATATTGTGATTTAATCCATTCAGAATCAAATCTGCAACACAAAAAAAGTGTTTGAAAAGTCAAGGGGTCCGAATACTTTCTGAATCTGTATATTGTATATTGTTTTTGGGAAAGGGACCACCACAGATCCAGATACAGGCACAGTGGTATGATATACTCTAGTTATCTTGAGCAAAGTTACACCAAAACACATCGCTATTATATTAGCACAGACAGAAATGGTGTGGTGTACAGACACCAAACTTGGTAGGAAAGACCCAAATTCCACCCACTATTGATAAAACTGCAATGACACTTAATCATCTCTAGGTGGTATCGGTTAACCTCTCCACAGCTATATATTGGCCAGAGACAAGTCTTGTTCTGAATCCTTGCATTCTCTTCTGTTATAGTGGTACAATTGGTTTCATTTCCCGTCTTCTTTGGCTATGTTCATACAGCAGGTAAAAGTGGCCCAAATCTGATTTTCTCATCAAATCCAATTTTTTGGCTTGGCTGTTCACACTATCTTTAAAAAGTGATTCCTATGCGACATCAGTTTGAACAGATCAGCTCCTAAACTGACCCACATGTACAAAATGCTTCACGTTGCTTCATGTGGCTTTCAGACTTTTAACTGTTCTTTGACGCTGCAGCATCGTTTTCCTGAGGCCTGTTCAGACTGAGTCGCATTGCCACAGATGGGATACGTATCGGATTTCAGTACCACGTATGAAAGCGCCTCAAATCGGAATTATAAATGTCAGATTCAGTGCATTTTTTGCTGTTCACACTTACACATCTGTGTCACGTATGAAGAAAAATCGGATTTAGGCCACTTTTATCTGCTGTGTAATAGCCTTTGAGATCATTTGTCCAGTTTACACTAAATATGGGATGACACTTAATGTTTACAGATATTTGATGAGATGAACCATTTAGCTGCTAGAATGCAACATTTTCAGTTCAGTGTCACCATTAGAGACTTAGTCTCTTGGGGAAGAGAAATTCTGGGCTAGAAGTGGTTGAGAACATAGACTTATTAGGGTGGGAACACTTTACTGTATGGCAGTGTTCATAGAGTTACATGACAGCTACATTAGCCCTTCATGACAGTTGGCAGAAACCTATGTAAACATTTATAAAAACTTATTCCAATAGGCATCATTAATTATGAATGTTATGTCTGGTGTTATGACAGATGATGCCTATCAGAATAATAAGTTCATGATAACCTTATGTGGACCATTCAACTTAATTAATTAATTAAAAAAAATATTTAGACCTTTCTATTTACAAGGATTATGTTATAATCTATTTAAACCTAAGGCAATAATTGAGATAGTAATAAGTGAAATATGCATAAATCATTCATGTTTTCCCATTGGGAGGTGACTGTCTCAAACCCCAACCACTAAATATAAACTTAAATAAATAACATTTACATTGTACCTTTTTTTTTTTAATTTTTTGAATATTTTTTTTAAAAGTAAGGTTCATATAAATGTATCATGAGTTTAATTTTTAAATGGGAAAATAAAAAAAAAATAAAATAAATAAAAAAAAACCGTCCCACTTTTTCTTGTCATTACCAAAATACAAAGAGTTTTAGTCCATGGGCGGAGCCTTATTTTAGCCACACCCCTGCCTCTTAGAGCAGGAAGTGAGGCCGCATCCCTGCCCCTCATGGCCACAAGGTGAACAGTCAGATCCCATTGTTTTGAAGTAAATGTGTCCCAAAGTCTGAAAATCAGTGTGGAACATTAAGAATGAAGTTTTTTGCAATCATGTAAAATTTTTTATGTTTTAATGAAAAATATTATGATTTTATATATACAGAACTGTTAAAAGATGTGTTTTTGTATTATACTCAAAATGAGCTAAAATTGTCACTACCGAAACAGTCACTACTGAAACATTTGGTAAATTTTCTGAGGAGTTATTTTTGTATTGATAGTGAAAAATAAAATAAACGTAATAGGGTCACACAAAGCTAAAGGATTTTAATCTAAAGTCCAAGGCAGTTAAAAGTCCTGAATGTGTTTTGGACTCTGACTTCGAACCGGTTTGGTAGAATGATCCATATGCATAGGTATCATGTAGCATTTTAAAACACTACCCTACAGGAAAGTGTTCCCCTATTCTTTTCCTCACAGTTCAATTAAGCAAAATTATAATACTTTTGGAAAACTGGGCCTAAACTCATCAAGAATGTACTTTCAAAATATTTTTAAAGCTAAATCTTGTGTCTGGTTAAATATTATACAAGTGATGACCACATGGTGTTTCAAAATAAATAAATAATGCTGAAGTATAAAGCATTTTCAATATTCAAGGGTTTGACAGTAAAAGTCATTAACTGGAGTGTTTTTGCAGGCTGCACAGTGAAAGACAATGGACAGATGACAAACATTTCTGCATACACAGGAGAGTCAGTACTGCTGCCCTGCTACTGCACTGACCTACACACCACACCTAAGACATTCACCTGGAAGAAAGACAACATGACTGGAATGCAATGGGAAGAGATATCGAGTGAGAGTGGTCAGTACAGAGACAGAGTTCAGCTGGTTAATGGTCACTCTCCAGGAAATCTCTCTCTACTCATATCACACCTGACTGAAGAGGATACAGGAGATTACCTGTGTGATGTTAAAGACAGTGGACACATCTTCACCAGACTCACTATTAAAGGTAAAACACTGTCTTGATCCACATACAGAGTGTAACTAGATACCTGGAAGAATCAACTGTAATTTTATAATTTACATTATAAATGCATTTGGCCTTGCAATGGTATTTGAATTTCTAAACAACACAACATTTCTGGAATTTTCTGTTCTTGTTGAAACAGTTGTGTTATGTTGCTTATTAACATAAAATGAGACTCCATGAGAGGTCAAAGGAAATATATAAGTTATTGCTACACTTTTGGTAGTACACCGTCATCAGTGTAGAGAAATGCTAGTAGCAGTCCTCTGGTATATGTATATGAAATACCTCTTTGAATATGAATATGAATATGAATTTGATATGAATATCTCTTCATGATCATTTGCCCATAGGTGCACCACAAAATGTTCCTAAATACAGCTTATTCAAAATCCTAGGTGATGAAACCTGGTTGGTCTGTCATTCTTTCTGACAAGCTACTTAAAAGGCATAATTCATATATGCACCACAGAGGTGGCCAAATTTACCTAATTTTACTTTTACATGATGAAGTTAAAATGAATTAAATGAGTTGAATTTATATGCACTGTAAAATGATTTGGGGCCAAATTACTAAAAGAAATGATAATTACCTACACTTTTTGTCTAATTTAACGGCTTTTCTATAATAACCTTCAAGCAAATCAAAATATAATAACCGCACACTGGATTTATGTGCTTTTTGTATGGAAGCCTGTTTCTGCCAGGTACTACAGCACTAAGTAGTGTGTAAAAAATGTTAGTAAATCTGCCACTTAGTGTCTTAAATTTAAAAAGTAACCAAAGTAAAAGACTAAATTGAACTTCTAATAGTAAATAAACAGAAAAATATTCTTACTTTTACATTCTATTAACTTATTATTTGAAGTACAGTGAACTCAATGAAGTTACTTTTTAACACACCAAATGTCTTTTATTGTGTGGAGGTCTAAGGGCATATGGAGTTTTCTCATTGTTTACTTTGGGGGTCTTAGGTGTAACAGTGTGCTATAACTAACTCCACTGGATGGAGGCATTACTTTTGCCTCTAAACAGCTGTTAAAGTTCACAGATGACATTGCTGTAGGAATATGAGAAGGAAACTTACAGCATGTATTACTTAAACATGTGTAACTACAGGAAAAATCCTTTTGACATTTTACCTCACATTAAACTGTGACAAAGTTCTCATAGTTCTCACACCTTTAATCACAAATTTAATGATGGTGTGGTATTTTTTGAAGATTAAGAAAAACATATTTTGAATTTGGAACTTTTTTTTTTGGAATTTAACTTTTTATACTTACACTTTTCTATGCTTACACTGAGACCAGAGTCAAAAGCCAAATCAAGCTCATGTACACAATATCCATGATTACCAGCTTAGTCAGAGACATTATCACATTGCAAAGACTGAGCTTTTTGAACTCAAGACTGAGGACTGAGCTTAAGCAGCCAGCAAGCAGCCTTATAAGTAGGCCAGACACAAGCTGGGGGGTTGCAGTTGCCACTTATTACTGTGACTCCTTCTGGTGGTGGGTCAAGGCAGTCAGCCACTAACACATGGTCATCCAAACAATAATGAAGTAATTACAATATGAAACAAAACTACAAAACAAATAACTTTTTACTGTTTCATAGGTCATATGAAAGGACTTCATTCTACATTCTACAGAACTTTATGTTAATATTTTGAGAAAAATATCTTATTTTGGGATGTTCCTGCTGTGTTGTGGTTGCTGTAGAGCACAGAGAAAAACTGCATGTTTCTGCAGATGGGTGTGTATAGAGTTTTGGAAAACGTGAACATACTGAAAAATGCTTCTTAGCCATCATACAAACTGTGGTAGATAGATTTAACCAGAATCAGTTCTTGAGTTTGGTTAGGTAAAGACTATAAAAAATGGTCTCTGCCTGTAGTGCTAGTGGGACTAATTCAATTGAGCAACGCATAATAGTCAAAGCAAAACACTTAAAATAAAACACAATCTTCAAATTGATATTTAAAATAATAATTAACATCACTTGTTCACCTGCAAAAGTTTTACTATGACATGCCTATGCTCATTTGGGTTTATGCAGGCTGCATTCTGGTAAACAGTGGAACAACCATAGCAGCACATACAGGAAGGTCAGTACTCCTGCCCTGCTACTGCACTGACCCACACACCAAACCTAAAGAATTCAACTGGCTGAAATACAACCAATCCACTTCAAACTGGGACAGGATTCCACTTGAGACTGAGCAGTACAGAGACAGAGTTCAGCTGGTTAATGGTCACTCTCCAGGAAATCTCTCTCTACTCATATCACACCTGACTGAAGAGGATGGAGGAGATTACATGTGTGATGCTATGAAAAGTGGATTCATATACATCAGACTCACTGTTGAAGGTAAAACACTGATCTGTATTCAAAGCACAACGCATGTATGATGTTTTGTTAGCTCTACATTACAAATGCATGAATGTTCTTCAATGACTTAAAAGTTTGATTATATATATAAATTTTAGATTAATGGCATCTTCTTTCATTATATTCACCTATTTCTTGTTAATCTAATAGTCATAGTTTGTACAAATGGCTATGAATTTATTAGTTGTTTGGTGAAGTCATGTTTTCATGTTTGTATTATCTTTCAATTCTGAGACATTCCAAGTTGCGTTGGGCCGTTTTAACCCTTTCTGAACATTCCCTAACCTGCTGCATGGCATATGGATTGTGCCTACATCCATCTCATGTCCCTTATGAATGGACACATTCATGAACAGCTTTGGATGGTTCAGCACTGTTCATGACAAAACTGTAGCTCAGAGCATTAAGTAACCGTTAAGTAAGTTCCCAGTTATTTGATACATTAGCCAGAATTAACAGGCTTGTGCCTGAGAAATTTCTTCTGATTCCACTACTTTAGATCTGACTGTCTTGGAGATTTCTAGAGGTTTGGGGAGATTCTTATTTCTGCTCATCATGGACGCTGCTTAGGTCTTCTTTTCTTTACAGTGGCCCCAACTTCAAAACTGAGTCCAATGCTTTTAAAACAAAAGGCTTGCATTATAGAAGTGTGAGTTACTTCTATCTGGCCTCAGATTCCTCAAAAGCATCGTAGCGTTGAATTAATTTTATTCAGATTCTTACTCTACAATCTTTAAATGATCTACGTGCTGCTACACTAGGTAACTTATCATTCACTGATGCTGTTGCAGAACCTCTACAGTCTCTGCCCTTCGTCCCCTTTGCCTTGGTGACTGTGATCATTCTCCACATTATAGTAGCTGTGGTTTATCACACCAAGAGGAACAAAGGTACAACCTATATAATTAAGCCATTCTGATTCTGATTATGCTACTGTTCTTAAGTGAATGTGAATATATCATTTATTTTACCTGCTTTAGCATCTGATCCTTTTTGAATTTATAATTTCTTGGTCATTTCATCCACTTAAGGGCCAGATCCTGCCACAGTTTACTACTGCACTGCTGATGGAGAAGGATCATTGACTCTGCAATAGACAAGTAAAACAACAGACTGGCTACTAACACCACCCACTGACCTTCACACCTGATCAACAGACCAGTTCTTGCCCAAAACCATTGACGAACCAGCTAATGACCTACAAACCTGATCAACAGAACATCTACTGACCAACACATCTGATCAAAAGACAAGCTACTGAAATGCAAATAATCATAAGCAGAAATGCTACTGACCAAGACATCCAGTCCATAGATCACTTACTGGACTACTTACACAACTGAACAGCAGACCAGCTACTGGTCCACAGACTTGATCAACAGACCATTTTTTGACATACAGACCTGATTAACAGACCAGCTACTGACCAACACACTTCACAAACAGACAACCTGATGACATACATATGGCATACAGACCTAATCAAACGATCAGCTGCTGAACTATAAACATAACAAGCACAGCTGATAAACAGTCCAGCTAGTGACCTACACACTTGATCAACAGACCCCTACTGGCCTACAGTCCTGATCAACAGACCAGTTACTGACTTTCACAGACCTGCTTTCAACATACAAATCAGTCATTGACCTAGAAACCACTTTAAGGGGCAGAGTAGAGTTTTGCTTGTGTTTCAGTGCAGCTAACTTTCAATACAGGACTTGAACATGTGGCAGCTCAAACTTAAATGTGATTTCCTCTATAGATACATATAGCATTACTTTTCACTGTATTTTATTTACTGATCTGTGATACCTAATAATCTTTTATATCACATGTAGTACAGATAGATATTTGTATTACACATGTGACATAGAATATAATAACATATGATACTGCACACATATGGTACTAAATATTTGGACTGTTATGTATGTTTGGGCCTGTGACTTTTTACCTGACACCCTAAACGTGAAATAAAAAAAATAATAATAAATATTATTTTGTCCATTATAATAAATAAAATTTTGTCCACAATACACTAATGTGATGTACTTTGAATGAGTATCATCTAAATTCACTGTCTATGTGATTGCTAGGGGTTCGGGGAGATGTTTATACTCATCATGGACAATATTTAAGTCCTCTATTTTTCACAGTGGCACTAACTTTAAAACTAAGTCCAGTGCTTTATCAAAATGAATCTAAGAAATACAACCAGTCCTTTCATCACAGATCTCACATTTCTGCAATAACCATCAACTTGTTGTTTATTATATTGCCATATAATAAATTTAAACCATGTGACTTGGATCTTAGAAGTGTCAGTTGTATATGTAAAAGGCCTCAGATTGCTCAAAAGCATTATAGTGTGATCTTTCTATGAACTACAAATGTAATAAGCAGATTGAATAACAATGTTTTAACAAAGTGCTTATTGTGCTTTATTGAACCTGATAATGCAATATTAGTAATAATCACATAAAAGACTTCCAATTATGTACTAATACAGGTCATAAAGAATAAAGCTTAGTGCATAATGTCTAGTTCAGGCTTTATTGAACAACAAAAAAAAACATAATACATCTTTAAAATGTCTTTCTTAAATAAAATCTCAATACATATTTTCATTACATTTTTTTTTATATATTCGTATGATTTGGTTCTTTGTTGTCCATGAATTAGAGTGGTCATTTCTGAATGTGTGAGTTCTGTTGATACATTACTCACATTAAGTAGTTGGATTGTTGATATGTCACATGAAGTAGACTTAATATGTTATTTCCATTAAGCAAAACATATCCTTACCCAATGTAACCCTAACCCTAACCCAAATCCTAACCCTCACCCTGGCCCTAATCTTAACCCTAACCTTAACCTGAACACAAAACCTAATCCTAACCCTCACCCTGGCACAAATCCTAATCCTAACCTTAACCAAAATCTAATCCAATTAAATTATATGATGGTGTCAGTGTGTCTATAACAGCTTGTTGAGGATGTTGAGATGGTCTGTATTAAACCTGTTGCATGTTCAGTTCCTCTCAGGTTAAACATCTACAGATATGAATCTGAACACTTCAAATAAAGTGATTATAAACAATTGTCATTTACACAGTTAATTAAAAGTCTTTTGATAATCTACTGCATGTACTCACTGCTGCTACATCATTGATATGAGAGTCTATTGAGTGTTTATTTCATCTAAAAAGGACCACCCAAAATAAAGTGCCACCCAATGAATATGTGCATTGTGAGTTGTAAAAGAAGACTGAGGAAGTGCCAAGGAACAGCTCACAGGATGTTGCCACATCACCACATTTGGGGTCAGTGAGTGGCAGAGACAAAAAGCTGACCTCATCGTAAAACATTTCCTATGTGTCCACTTTAGGTTCCAGTGACGTCCTGTTGAGAGAGATATAGGATTTGAATGTGTGCTGATTGTGTCTGGAACATTGTGTAGTGTATGTGTAGTTGACAGATCGGTCAGTAGAGCAGGTGTAGGAGTGGTTGTATCGCCAGTTGTGCTGTCTCTGTATGTAGTGAGGATGTTCTGGAACTCAGGAACAATGGAGGTTTGTTTTTATCTGCTGCTTGTGCTCCATGTTGCTGAAGGTGAGTGTATCATTCTTGTACTGTAGATACCATACTGTAATCTTAGTGTTGATATGGAAATGTAAGTGTATGCACTGGGCCCTAACTGAAGTCATTTGACTTGACTGGTTGCCTTCAAATCCTCTTTAAACCCACTTATGCCAAGTAAGTAGAACTGTTAGAAGATTTGGTAACACTTTCTATGATTGTCACCTTTGTAAGCATCTATAAACACATTCATAACATGTTATAATGCATTCATAAGACATTATAAACATAGCTATAAATATTTATAAAAATGCATTATACATTATAGCCATGTTTATTATGCATTATGAAGTGTTAACATAATACATTATAAGTACTGATCATAACAATTTATAAGAGCTAATAAGTTGTATTTGTCCGCTCTAAGTAAAGTGAAGCGTACTGTACTAAAGCCTCCTCCAGTGTTAAGAGTGAGGCTTCAAGTTGAAGTATTTACTGAAGGATTTACTGAAACACTAAAACATACACAATAAAGCACATTACAGGCTTCAAATGTCAGAGTTTAAACTAGTGCTGCATCAGTGTTTTACCCAATGTGGGAAAGGTAATGTACTTTGCACTCTCCAAGCTGGGACTGACTTCTTTGGCACTGACATTATAACAAGTTATTAACACTATTTATAATGCATTATATTAACAATTCATGATGTATAATAAACATGGCTATAAAGTGTAATTCAGTGTAATTCTTTTTTATAAATATTTATAACCATGTTTATAATGCCTTATGAATACATTATAACATGTTATAAATGTGTTTATAGATGCGTACAAAGGTGACATTCATAGAAAGTGTTACCGAAGATTCATTTAAACTTAATAAGTAAGTAAGTAAGTAAGTAAGTAAGTTTCTCAACAGTATAATAACAAAACGGTCATTGTGAGTGTCACTACTCTAGTAGTTACAGTAAGTAACATTAGAATGCTTTTAAAGAACTGGGCTTAGGCTAGTCAATACATCCTTTTTTTACCAATGCCTTTAAAACAAAATCATGTTTCTGCTTTAGCATGTTATGCAAGTGACAGTGAAGTTCATTAACTGGTGTGTTTCTATAGGCTGCAAACTGAAAGACTATGGGCAAACAAGATATATTACTGGATATTCAGGACAGTCAGTACTGCTGCCCTGCTACTGCACTGACCTACACACCACACCTGAGAAAGTCACCTGGGAAAAACACAACAAAAATGGAAATACGTGGGAAGTCATATCCAGTGTGAGTGGTCAGTACAGAAACAGAGTTCAGCTGGTTAATGGTCACTCTCCAGGAAATCTCTCTCTACTCATATCACACCTGACTGAAGAGGAAGAAGGAGATTACAGGTGTACAGTTAAAGGTGGTGGATACAGAGACATCGTCCTCACTGTTGAAGGTAAAACACCTAGTTGATCCGCATGCTTAGTGCAGTGATAATCTCATGACTAGATACCTTATAGAATCATTAAGAAATGCTAATGAAAACAGAAAGCAGTGATCAATAAATTCTGTTTGACCACAATATTTTATGTTGCACACATTTTCGAGCAGTTTAGCACCTGCACTCTCTGATTATGCAGCCATAACACAAGCAGAAAGTAGCTTGGTGTTGTCATTTTGAAATAAACATGATCTCTGAAAAAGACATTATCTAAAAGGCATCATATGCTGATCCAAAATGTGTTCAGCGTTATAGCTAATAATAGTACCATGACAAACACTGGCTTTTGAACTTTATGTTTTCACTGTGCATCAGTCTATTTCATATGAGCTCAAGCCCAGAGAAGTCGGCAGTGTTTCTGTAAGTTGTTGAGATATGGCTTCCGCTGTTCATAGTACAGTCTTAACTTTTTTGGCATTTGTGGATGCATGAATGAACAGTGTTTATTGACAATAGTCAAAGTATCCCCAAGCCCATGTGGTGATATTCATCACATAATTATATCAGTTTTTCATGGAGTTATATGTGAAGGGTCAAAGGTCATGGGCATTTATTGTGGTTTTTGGCCTTGCTCTTTATGGGCAGAGATTTCTCCAGATTCCCTCAATCTTGTGCTGATATTATGCACTGTAGGGGGTGAAATACATAAAATCCTTGCAATAACTTGCTGTGGAATGTTATTTTTAAACTGTTGCATTTTTGGCAAAGTTTCAAGCCTTGACCCATCCTTGCTCAAAAAGGACTGGACCTTTATGGGATTCATCTTATACTTCCAAGAATGATCCCAGACAATGTTTAAAATGTTTTTTGAACATTTCTAAATGTTGCT